ATTCTGCTGGCCTTGGTAGTTTGCGATTCATGATCAGTATGATGTCATTCGGTTCTATGTGACAGTAAGTAAGCTGTAAGACGTTCATCTTCTTTTCTCAGGATTTTTTACCTCATATGGCAAAAGAGTATGGCTTCGAGTACGAGCTGGTCCAGTACAAGTGGCCCCGATGGCTTCACCAGCAAACCGAGAAACAAAGAACCATATGGGGCTACAAGATTCTCTTCCTCGACGTGCTCTTCCCATTGGATGTGAAGAAGATAATATTTGTGGATGCTGATCAGGTACCCTCAGAAAGCCTTTATGACCTTGAAAACATTTGTTCCAAATACCACGCTTTACGATCTGCTTGAACTTCCTGCCGGCGTGGTGAAGTGAAGGAATGATTCCGCTAATCCCCTTGTTACGATGTCGGCGGCAGCAAGCGCTCTTGGAGCTTATGACGCGTGTGCCTACAATTTCCCTTGGTACAGAAAGCCGTCCCCTGTGCCCAGCATCCGGTATGTTGTATTGCCTCACGCAAATATGCCGTGACGGTAGAGAAGGAAATATTAATGTTTCATTTCAGAATAGTTTAAATAAGAAAATTAATTCAAATCATATTTTTAAAAAAATCAGCAAAAGTTTAATGAATTGCGCACTGTGCGACGGTGAAATTATAACACACGAAATGCAATTCTTGTGGCTGAGATTACTTTTAAATTCGGGGTTTTAGCGATGCTCTCGTATTTATCGTAAATTGTTGATAGGTTGTGCGAGCAGACATGAAAGAACTCCGGGACCTGGATCTCGGCGGCGCTTCGTACGGTTACACGCCATTCTGCGACAGTCGTACCGAGATGGACGGGTTCCGGTTCTGGAAGCAGGGTTACTGGCGCAATCATCTTCAGGGAAGGCGATATCATATCAGCGCTTTGTACGTGGTGGACCTGCGCAGGTTCAGGCGGATAGCTGCCGGAGACCGTCTGCGAGGGCAGTACCAAGCTCTGAGCCAGGACCCCAACTCTTTGTCGAACTTGGACCAGGTATGTCATTCAACAAGAATCAAAACGTCCGGAAGAATGTTTTGGTAAAAACCATAAAACGAACTTCAGCTGCTTTGTCAGTGGACTTGAGGCGTGATAATTTTGCGCTTTTAAATTCAGAATTGGCGATGAATTACAAAATGCGCGTACTCAAAGATGTCAGTTGAATAAGCTATAATTTTTGTCTGACTTTAAAAGGTGATCAACATAATTTTTTAAATTTCCTGGAGTGGCGTCCTGTGTCCTTTACCTGGGGGATGGGGCCTCGAGCCTCGCTCGCCCTTGCCTATTTTTGACGTCGCTCCCCTTGAAAGAAGTGCCAGGTTGAGGCATCACCCTGGACGGCCCTCGTTTGACTACGTCCCTGAATGTACTTGTATGTGAGATGTAGCTACAAAATTTGAATTTTTTTGTATCGAGAAGGTTCGTCCCCTTGCAGGATCTCCCAAACAACATGATCCATCAGGTAGCGATAAAATCTTTGCCGCAAGAATGGCTGTGGTGCGAGACGTGGTGCGACGAGGCCTCCAAGCAGCACGCCAAGACCATCGACCTGGTGAGTCGCAGTTTGCTGTTAAGTCGGCGTTAACGCTGGTGCAGCGGAGTCACTCTGCAATTCTTATTTGTTTGCAGTGTAATAACCCGCTCACGAAGGAAGCCAAGCTGACCGCTGCAATGAGGATAGTTTCCGAATGGAAAGATTATGACTCAGAAGTAAAAAATCTACAAAATAAATTAAATAGGATCGAAACCGAGAAGGACGGAGATTTGAGATCCGGAAAAAGCGCTTTCCAGAAAACGGGTGAGTAAAATCTTGCTCTTAGATTGTTTATTGGTTTAATAACCACGTTTTTATATAAATGCTATCGGTTTCAGAAATAATATTTGTTTCTTTGAAAAAAAAGGCAAATGAGTTTTGAGCACT